CACGCGACACATCTACAATTATTGTCGCGACTCCCGGAACTTCTGGGACTTCCACAAAATGTCCGATTTGCCTAGGAGAACATGGAATTTGGCGTTGTGAAAAATTCCACTCGTTCTCTGTTCAAGCAAGAATATCAGCCATTAGAAAAGCTTCGCTATGCGAAAACTGTTTGAGACCAAACCATAATCCTGATATTTGCAAAAAGGGCTCATGCCGCATCTGCAAGCAGTATCATCATACTCTTATTCATCAGCCAAGGCAATCTTCAAATCACTCGGATGATATTCAAACGACAAGGCGTGAAACCTCACCAATTACCACAGAGGAAAATAACGATTGACGAGAGCTTAATGAGAGTCCAAATAGAATCAGCCGTGTTAACGCATTCACAATAGACACCATTAACAACGAATTACTTGTTACTGCCCAAATTCAAATCTTAGACAAAACAGAACATCCAATCAATTGTCGAACGTTAATTGATACGGGCGCAACAACGAATTTTATCACGGAAAATCTCGTTAAACGGCTTGGCATTTCAAAGAAGGAATGTTCTATTCCGATAGGGGCTCTCAACGCTATGACTACTGTCGCTAAACATACCGTCACAGCTACCGTTAAATCAAAAAATAGCACATACCAACGAACATTAACTTTTTTGACGATTCCAAAAATCGCAGAATGCGTTCCGGACCAACCGATTGACCGATCTCGGCTAAATATTCCACATAATATTCGATTGGCGGACCCCGAATTCCATCGTCCAGCACCGATTGACTTGTTATTTGGATCCGGAACAGCATTATCATTACTAAGCGTCGGTCAAATTAATCTTTCACGTCCCAATGAACCCGATCTGTATCTGCAGAAGACGAGACTCGGATGGGTCATCGGGGGGAGCCCACCGCGAAACCCACAAGATCAAGGTGTCTCATGTCACACAGTGAGCACTCTACAATTTGATCTTACACGTTTTTGGGAAATCGAGGAGGGACCTCAAATTCACATATTCTCAGAGTCAGATAAACTTTGCGAATCGCATTTTCGACAACATTTATCTCGAAGATCCGATGGTCGTTATATTGTAGCATTACCGTTTAACGACAAATTGATACAACTGGGAGAATCAAAATCACGTGCTCAAAAACGATTAGAATCCCTCGAACGTAAACTGCAACGTGACGCGACGTTAAAACGGGATTACCATGCCGTGATAAATGAATATCTTACTCTTGGACACATGGCCAAGGTTTTAGAAGATCCGGACGTATCACAAGGATATTACCTTCCGCATCACGGGGTAATAAAGACCACGAGTGAAACCACAAAATTACGAGTAGTATTCGATGGCTCCGCAACCACGAGCACCGGAATCTCACTCAACGACACTCTTCATATTGGCCCTAAACTTCAGGACGATCTTTTATACATTCTTCTCCGTTTCCGAATTCACCAGTACGTTATCACTGGTGACATAGAAAAAATGTACAGGCAATTCCTCGTACGAAAGGAAGATAGGAAATTTCAAAGAATTCTATGGCGTGACGACACAGGCGAAATCCATACCTACGAATTACAGACAGTGACCTTCGGATTATCAGCCGCTCCTTACCTGGCCATTCGGTGTCTAATCCAATTAGCACAGGACGAAGGCTATCGTTTTCCTCAAGCCGCAGATGTCTTACGCCGAGATTTTTACGTTGACGACGCATTAACCGGAGCCTCGACAATTGATGATGCACGTATGCTGCGTGAAGAATTGACCCAATTGTTAAGACTAGCAGGTCTAAACATTCGACAATGGGCAGCCAACCATCAAGCCATTTTACAAGGACTACCTGAACAGGACATCAATAAAAAGTTACATCTCGGTGAATCCTCCACTTTGAAGACGCTAGGAGTTTTCTGGGACTCTTCAAACGATTCGATATCGTATGAAGTTAAAACTCAACCCATTACATCACGGGTAACTAAACGCTTCATCACATCGGAGATCGCAAAAATCTACGATCCCCTCGGCCTTCTCGGACCTGTTATCAGCACAGCAAAGATGCTATTACAAAGAATTTGGTCTATGAAACTTGACTGGGATGAATCTTTGCCAATGGACGTATACACCGAATGGAACCAATATTATAAACAATTGCCATTATTAAATAATATCATTTTTCCGAGGAACACTATCCCTCATACATCGATAGTAACCGAATTACATGGATTCTCCGACGCAAGTGAAAAAGCCTATGGAGCTTGCTTGTATCTCCGGACGATTGACAAACAGGGCCACATCAACGCAAAACTTCTTTTCGCAAAATCAAAGGTGGCTCCATTAAAAACACAATCAATTCCGAGACTAGAATTGTGCGGAGCGTTATTACTAACATCACTAGTGACAACAGCCAAAAAGGCCTTACATATTACGATCGACCGCACTATTCTCTGGACCGACTCCACGATTGTATTACATTGGTTACAAACATCTCCGCACATGCTCAAAACATTTGTCGCAAATAGGGTGTCTGAAATTCAAAACAAGACAAACATAGCAGATTGGCGACATGTATCGACGTCAGACAATCCCGCTGACCTTATTTCGCGGGGCCAACTCCCGGAAGAATTCCTCCAGCCATCTCTATGGCAGGAAGGACCAAAATGGCTTCAAGAAGACGAATCTTCATGGCCAAATATATCAACTCCACCATGCGATAGCATATTATTGGAACAAAGAGTTGCAACGTGTCTGGTTACATCTACCTTTGACACCAATATCTTAGACAATTACTCGTCATGGAGACGGATGCAACGAGTCATTGCGTACTGCCTTAGATGGAAGAAAGACAACACCTTTAAGGGCAGCCTCACTGCAATAGAACTTAAGAGAGCTCATGATAGCATTATTAAACTTCTCCAAAAGATTCACTTCACTAAGGAACTGCGACATTTATCCAACAACGAGTACAACATCGGAGGAAAATTGCAGCGCTTATCTCCTTTTATAGATAAAGATGGCATTTTACGCGTAGGAGGTCGTCTAAAGCATTCGTCAATGCCATTCCCACAACGACATCCAATTATTTTGCCAAAATCGCGAGTAACTTCGCTCATTATTGAGGCTGAACACCAGGCCCAACTGCATACTGGCGTTCAGAATACCCTCTATGCGATCAGACGTCGATACTGGCCCATCGATGGAAGAAATCAGGTGTGGAAAGCTTTGAAATCCTGCATGCGTTGTTTGCGAGCTCAACCACCACCAGTGGAGTACATAATGGGAGACCTTCCCAAGGCAAGGGTTACCGAATCTCGTCCGTTCACTCACGTCGGCGTTGATTATTGCGGACCATTTCATATAAAAGAGAAGAAGCATCGAAATCGCGCGAAAATAAAAGTCTACGTGGCAGTCTTCGTCTGTCTCGCAATTAAAGCTGTCCATTTAGAACTCGTGAGTGATCTCACCAGCGAATCATTTATCGCAGCACTCCGACGATTCATAGCTCGACGAGGTTTCTGCAAGAGTATTCACTCTGACAATGGTACAAACTTTGTCGGGGCTAACAACAACTTAAAAGAATTACGAGAGCTCATCCGTTCAGATGACCATAATCTAAAAGTAAAAACCTTCCTGGCAGAACATTCTATTGACTGGAACTTTATACCACCTCGCACACCACATTTTGGCGGATTATGGGAAGCGGCGGTAAAGGCTTTTAAACACCATTTAATACGCGTAGCGGGTACTGACATTTTCACTTTCGAGGAATTTAACACTCTTATAATCCAAATCGAATCAATCCTAAATTCCCGACCTCTTACTCCATTATCATCAGACCCAAATGATCTACTCGCCTTAACACCTGGTCACTTTTTAATCGGCGATTCATTGACGAACCTACGCGAACGAGACTTTTTACATACACCATCTAATCGTCTCTCAACCTGGCAACACATTCAAAAGATAAAGCAACATTTCTGGAATCGCTGGCACCGAGAATATCTTAACGAGTTAACCAAACGCAGCAAATGGATTAAGGGCGACCATGCGATCAAGGAAGGAACTGTCGTCCTTCTCAGGGAAGATAACTTACCTCCCATGCAATGGCCCTTGGGTAGGGTAATTAAGGTCCACCCCGGTTCAGATGGCATCATTCGCACAGTAACACTAAAAACGGTGGCGAATACGTTGGATCGGAACGTGAAAAAGCTGGTACCATTGCCCTATCAACCCGAAGACGTCAATCATCAGATCGAATCAGCGTCCGCAGACAAACTCGATCAAACGTAAACTTCGTTTTGCATAGACATGTACTCATTGTTTTATCTGTATTTTTAATTTACTCACATACGTATCGCTTATTTTATTTATATGTATATATATTTTTCCATATTATGTTTATATAACTGTATATATGTTAACGTATGCGTAAACTGTATATTCATAACTAGTAACGTTAAGTACTCCATTTCATTCATACTGTTTGTAATCTTGTAATCTGAATCATTTATGTTTTTTCCGTTTGAACACATATTAATTCCGACAAATAAGTTGATCGGTGCCCTCTCAACGGGGGGAGAATGTTCCGTATGACTCTCACAAAGAACCATCGAAACAGAGTTTCCTCAAAAAAANATTATTTTGCCAAAATCGCGAGTAACTTCGCTCATTATTGAGGCTGAACACCAGGCCCAACTGCATACTGGCGTTCAGAATACCCTCTATGCGATCAGACGTCGATACTGGCCCATCGATGGAAGAAATCAGGTGTGGAAAGCTTTGAAATCCTGCATGCGTTGTTTGCGAGCTCAACCACCACCAGTGGAGTACATAATGGGAGACCTTCCCAAGGCAAGGGTTACCGAATCTCGTCCGTTCACTCACGTCGGCGTTGATTATTGCGGACCATTTCATATAAAAGAGAAGAAGCATCGAAATCGCGCGAAAATAAAAGTCTACGTGGCAGTCTTCGTCTGTCTCGCAATTAAAGCTGTCCATTTAGAACTCGTGAGTGATCTCACCAGCGAATCATTTATCGCAGCACTCCGACGATTCATAGCTCGACGAGGTTTCTGCAAGAGTATTCACTCTGACAATGGTACAAACTTTGTCGGGGCTAACAACAACTTAAAAGAATTACGAGAGCTCATCCGTTCAGATGACCATAATCTAAAAGTAAAAACCTTCCTGGCAGAACATTCTATTGACTGGAACTTTATACCACCTCGCACACCACATTTTGGCGGATTATGGGAAGCGGCGGTAAAGGCTTTTAAACACCATTTAATACGCGTAGCGGGTACTGACATTTTCACTTTCGAGGAATTTAACACTCTTATAATCCAAATCGAATCAATCCTAAATTCCCGACCTCTTACTCCATTATCATCAGACCCAAATGATCTACTCGCCTTAACACCTGGTCACTTTTTAATCGGCGATTCATTGACGAACCTACGCGAACGAGACTTTTTACATACACCATCTAATCGTCTCTCAACCTGGCAACACATTCAAAAGATAAAGCAACATTTCTGGAATCGCTGGCACCGAGAATATCTTAACGAGTTAACCAAACGCAGCAAATGGATTAAGGGCGACCATGCGATCAAGGAAGGAACTGTCGTCCTTCTCAGGGAAGATAACTTACCTCCCATGCAATGGCCCTTGGGTAGGGTAATTAAGGTCCACCCCGGTTCAGATGGCATCATTCGCACAGTAACACTAAAAACGGTGGCGAATACGTTGGATCGGAACGTGAAAAAGCTGGTACCATTGCCCTATCAACCCGAAGACGTCAATCATCAGATCGAATCAGCGTCCGCAGACAAACTCGATCAAACGTAAACTTCGTTTTGCATAGACATGTACTCATTGTTTTATCTGTATTTTTAATTTACTCACATA